GAAAACATAAAACCCCTCTGGCTTCACACTGTTTGTTCCTCAGGCCCTTTGTCAGGACCCCTTTCTCGTCCTGGGTAGGGGAGGTGAAAGGAAAGAAAGTTCTACCCGCTTTTCTTCCTTAAATAACTGAGGAGAGCACAGTTTGGCCATTGACTCATAATAATCATGATAATTAAGATTTATACTTAAATAGCTCTTTATATCTCAAGAGTACTAATGTTAATTAATTATGCTTCCCGAAGCTCCGGCGGAGTTGCCAAAGCCAAGGCTATTATCCTCTCCCGTCTTAGGGAAGACTCCTTTGTTACAGAAAAAGCGAAGAAACTCCCAAGGCTGCATAGCAAATTAGTGGTTCATGGAGAAGTGAAACCCAGACATCCGAGTCCCCAGTGTTTGGGGGCCCTGAGTTCAGCCTGCTGTTCCGAAAGGAAAGAGGAGATGGACTAAACATCAAAAGGCTGACCCCTTTGTGGTAGAAAACACTCTAGGCAAAGCAAGGGCGATTTAGCAGAGCAGATCTTTTGCTATTGCTTTATCATATGGAATGTGCTGGGATATTTTTCAAGATCACTCTCAACAGGGTCTGCAAATAGAATCGAAAGAAAAGTCTTTTCTTTCTTTCATATATATATATATATATATATATATATACTTTTAAGAGCATTAGAGAAAAACTAAAAGCTGAAAGGAAGGAAACAGATGTGTCTTTATGGCCTCCCCATTATTTTTATCTTGGTAGCAGAATGGAAAATGAACCATACTGTCAGGCTTCTTCTCTTCCCACAATTTATTTTTTTATTCTGCAAGCGTGTTTTTCCTTTAACTGTAGAGTCTTACAGTTAAAAAGTCATGAAGATTTACTCACGGAGATTTACATAAAGTCATAAGATCCACTCATGAGCTATAAATGAGATGAGAGGGGTGAAATAAAAAGGCCCCACTTTAGGTATTTTGAGAATGGAATTAAGAGCACAAGGAAGTGCTCAGGGTTCATGCTGTTGAGAAAAGAAAAGAAAAATGTGATTCTGTCTTTGCTGTCTAGAAGCCTAAATGCCCTAAGGGTTCCTCTCTTGGAGGTTGGACCTCACCTGCTCACTGGGTCGTGAGGGTGGCCATGGCCAGGATCCAGTTGCCTCTGTCCTTTTCAGTAGGGATACTTCAGGCTGTGCTCTGGACCGGCTCCTCCCTTTCTAACATTCCTTAGGTCAAGAGCAAGGTAGAAGTGTATGGACCACAGGATGCCCAAATCTCATGACAGAGCAGCTGTCCGCAGACCTTGGTCCCGGGTGGGCCCTCATCTTCTTCCAGCTGGGTAGGAGTTTCACCTCTACCCTTGAGTGAGCTGTGGAAGGGTCTGTCAGTCTCCAGTAATTTGGAGCACCTGTGGGGTGAATGGAGTTCCCAGATTGCCATATTTTATGCCACAGATTCCCAGCTTTACAGCTTGATGCTACTGAAGTCTGAGAGTTCTGATGTGATGAGAGCTACTAGGGCAGCATTGAAGAAAGCATAATAATGCTCCCTACCAGGGCATGGCCCAGGCACAATGCTGCTCCTCTATCTTCTATTCATTCTCTTTCTCTTGGATTTTTTTCCCCTGTAGAAAAAATGTTTGTCCTTCCTCATTGTCCTTTTGGTTCTCAATGTCTTCAGCAAGTCTTCCTAACTTTAGCCCAGAACAGTATATAATGGTATATGAACAAACGTATTTACACTCTGTAAAAGAAACTAGTTAGAACTTAGACTTAAACATGATGACATACGTTTAAAATTTGACCATTGCTAGACATCTCAGAAGGAAGTGGTACTTTTTTTTTTTTGGTCTGCATTGACAGTGATATTAATAATTACCTCGCGATTGGAGTGTAAATGTCACGGGAGGTTTTGCTTGAGTGGGAAGTTGCTAGCAGGAAAATACTTGATGGGCTGGGGTCAAGTGGAGTCTTGTGGCCCTTGTGTTTCTTAAACTCTAGATTTGTGCATGCTCCTCTGTGCCAGTCTTCCTAAACCTTTTATACTGACTGGCATTTGCAGTGGTGAGTAGACCCTTGTCAGACATAGCACAGTTTGTGAGGGGGGAAAAAAACCTGTTATTGTTCCTCCCACGTTGTCTTTCTGTGAGTTTCATAATCTTACACTAAATTTGGCTATTCCTGACAACAAAAGTAAAGTGACAGTATTTCTCATACATCTGGGAAAATGAAGTTAGGAGAAAATGGTGCTTTTCAGAAAGTTTAGCTCTGGCCTAATAGCTTTGTTGGTGCACCTGGTAAGAAAGACATGCCCCAATCTGAATTGTAAGTCTGGAAAATGCCCTGTTTTCGAGATTATAGGCCTAACCTATTTGGTTTTGATCCCACCCTGAAGCTCATTTTTCCATCCCTGGCATTTGCTACATGGGATTGATTTGACATTCTTGGATATTCTTAGGGGCTTTGTGTGGGTGGTGTGTTTGGGTGTTCTCTGTCTGTGATGAGGCGGATTAAACCTGCACGTTTTTCATAGTCACTGATTAAACCTGTACATTTTTTAATGTGTGGTTGAGAAGAATCTGGCTCTGAATCTTCAGTCTTTCTACATTCTTATGGAATTGGAGGCGTAAAAGTGGTGGTGAATGTAGATGCTTCTCTTACACATATAGGTGTCCATGAAGGCGTGAGGATAATTCAGAGTGACCAGCTCCTCCCAGGTTAAGCTGGGAAGTCCCATATTTAGAGAAACCCTCAGTCCTGGGAAAACAGGAAGGCTTGACTGGGAGTGCCCTAGTTTTAAATCTTAGAGGGAGGGCAATTGGGGGGATCTCACATAAGGCACACAAAGTAAGGGTGTTTAGCACGCCCCCTGGGGGAAGGGCTCAACTATAACTTGAACTTCACCTTAGAATTGAAAACAATGTAATCTAAACATCTATACCCTAATATTAATTTGTAACAAAAAACATTTTAAAAATACAGAAAAAAACTCTTGAAGTCCAGGGTCTCAGGAATGAATCTCTTCAGTCCCAGGCAATCTAGGGACCAAAGGTCACTAGGCCACCCTAGTACAAATTAAGATTCACATATTTATATCCAATTATTTAAATGTTATGTATCAGGTAAATGAATTGTGAAATACAGTAGGTTATACCTTCCTGCCTGACAAATATATGTTTATACTGATGTTGAAGGCTGAAGTTAGAACTCTCAGACTGTATGGAGGGACCTGGAGAGAAGAGGGCAGAGTGAGATCTTCTAAAATCATAAATTACCGAGTAGTTCAAAGAGTGCTTTGCTCTCTTGGAGTTATAGAACCTTTCCTTCAGCAGGTGTAGTACATCCCCATGGTGAAGGGGACACTATTGGTCTAAGGCTTTTGCAAAGGGAAAGGACTTCAGAGAACAAGTGAGTGCCCTGCAAGTGACATTGGATGGGCTACCACTGGGGCTTCCTGCCGCTTTATTCACTGAATTAACCCCTTAAACTGCAGGGCAGCTCTCAAGTTTCTTCTCAGGCTGTCCTAACAGCTACAAATAATTCTGATAATACATATTAACATATCGACATATCATAACTCAAAACTACTTTTAAATGGTATTTGGGACAGTGAAGCTCCTCAAAATACAACCGAAAGATATTGGCATCAATGACTTTGTATGAATTGATACAGCGCCATCACAGGTGGCTGCCCAGGTTGTGCACTGCCCCATTTTGGGTGGTGCCATTCACGTGGATTGTAATATGAAAGGCAACCCCCACCCACCCCTTTGTGCCAAGTGTGGATTACACGGCAACTTGCAGTGTCCCTGAATTGAAGTACACAGCCATTCATTTCATTTGTTCCCTGCTAAAATAGATATTTTTCTAGTCGAAATGTATTAGCATTCTAATCTGAACATTGGGGCCACTTTTGTTTGGTTCTTCATTTAGACTAATCTTGATTATTCACTGGGGAATGCACGAACAGAAAATTGGCTCGTTTCACTCTATTTTAATGGCATTTTCCTGCTAAGGGTTCAGAAGTGAAATGAAAACTGAGTAAGCTTTATGGTTTGCAAGTTTTACTGTTTCACATGGCAAGTGAGGACTAAAAGCATAGGAAATAGCTTTGGAATTTCATTTTGCAATCATTTAAATGTTATAACAAAATTTAATTTTATTTCCAAGTCGACTTTCGTGTGGAGACCTAGTTAGCTCTGATTGGAGAATAAGGAGTGAATGTTTTTGTCACCAGTTTTTGTTGATGCTGAGTTTTTAAAATTTTTTTAAATGTTTCTGGTGAGTCTCATGGGAATACCTTAAAGCTGAATATTCGGATCATTTCAGTCACCGCAGAGCCAACCAACAAAATTAAGTTGGTACACTTTTGCATTTCTCTCTGACATAATATTTATTTCTAACCTTTTCGCTATAATTGTTTTCAATATGGGAAGTACAATTTCTGTGTTGCATTAGGACATAAAAAGAATTTCTTCAAACTAAGGACTAGAACCCCCCTCAAAGACTGAATGGAAGGTCACACTATGGTCTAGATAACATCATGTAGGGTGGTTAATAATATGCTCCTGAATGAGATGGCCCTGCTACGTGGAGTTTGACAGTAACCCCCAGGGCAGGAAGAGAATAGCAACAGTGGTATGAAAATTATCTGTCTCTGGAATAAAAAATACCCCCAAATTGCAATGAAAATGGTCAACTGTATAATAGAAACAGTACAAAAAAAAAAAAAAGAAATAGTTATAGTTCATAGATTGCTGAAGTTTTTCCAAAGTGATTTGTAAGTTCTATTTAGTCTTTTTTTTTTTTTTTTCTTTTTGGAGGGATGGAAGTTGGGGGACTGGGGTAGGGAATAGATTTAAGGTGAAACAAAGCAAGAACATTGGGTTTATTTACCATACCCTAAAAACAGTCTATTCAATTATAAAAACCTTCAGTGTCTATTTAGCTTATTTTACTTGGCATAGGTTATGCATTTGTAAACACCAAATTCATGCTTACAAATCTTTTCTGTGTTTTGCTTTTTAGGTGCAAACCCGAATTATCCTGATGTAATTTATGAAGGTAGCTATCATTGTTTCCTTTACACTGTATTTTTTCTAAATGCTTGTGTATTATGTAATAAATCAACTAAAACAAGACCGCTAAGCTCAGATAAATATATCCACTTTGGGCATTACATAGTCCAAAACAATATTTCAAAAATCATTCAGTATTGACGGCCAGATCCCCTTGACATTTGCAATGCCTGTAAATAGCACTTTCTCTCTCATGTTCTGTTCTTGGAAGTAGTAAATCCATTTTGCTGGCTGTAACAGACATTTTGTTTCCATAATTGGGAACTAATTACCTGTTTAAAAGCCATGACTACCAAGAAAAGGGAAGTGTATCAGTTTCTGGCTGTGACAGTAAACCCAATTCAAAATTATGTTTCTTGTGCAACGAAGAAGTTTGGCTTTGAAAAACCTGGAAGTTACAACTTGCTTTCTTGCTCTAGGGTTGGTTAAACCAGCCACTTAACCCTGTCATCAGGAACCCAAATTCTCTTTGTCTCTACACTCTCTTGCCCATCTTGCTAGCTTCAGTGAAGGCCGATTCCCCTGTGGTTAGAACAGGATGTCAGCAGAGAGGCTGCCGCCATTCACATTGATGAGAAAATGGGAGAGCTTCTCAAGGTGTCCCAGAAGAGAACTTTCCCCCAAACTTCAACCAAGCCCTGTTTGTATCAGATTCAAGACCCCATCAGGTCATGGTCTGTTCTTGCCCTCATTATTGATAAGAGAGAGGCGTTACCCTCGACTAACTGGCCCCACCCCTGGACTTGAGGTCTGCTTTCCCTGAGGTGGATAGGCTTAACCCCCTTGAACAAAATGAGGCTCTCTTGGGAATGCAAAAGGAAAGAACCAAAGGTCCACTGTATTAGCTTTTAACAGAACAGCTCACATCTCCTTAGCTATTTTTTTTCAATACCAAAGACATTTTACAAGGTGGGAAAGCCCGTCTTTGATTTTCAGACTGCTTTCGTGATCAGGAAGCCACTGAGTGGGGAGGTGGCAGGCTACATTTCAACATGTGGCTTGAAATTTAAGAATGATTGAAAGTCAGATCAATTAAAATATGTTTATATATTCTATAAAATATTCCATTCTTTGATTTTGTATATATATGAACTTACTCACTTTTTATTTTTTTCTATAAAATGATTCTGTTTGTGGGCTTATATGTGTGTGTATTTAACTTGAGTTCCTTTTAACTGGGGAAGGAATTTATATTGTCTTTTCCTGCTTATGTACATTAACCCATATTTCTTCCATGCTTTTGTTTGGTTGATTTTATGCATATGATTTGTGTTTTGGTCAGGAATTATGTAAAAATCACAATTCAAACCTTTCTCAAATTCTATCTCAGCATGATGTGTTTGAATTATGATTTTACATTTTAAAATTGGGTTTTAGAACCCTTTTTGAATGTCACTTTCCCATTGGCTTCAGACCTCACTTGGATCTGTTAAATTGTAGGCACTTCAATGATTTACATTTTGCATGATTGGTTGGCTCTAACCTGAAGAGGGAAAAATAAACAAATTAATTATATCTGTTAGTGTTTGAAATCAGTAAGTTTTAAGATATTCATAATAAAAATTATGAGAACATGATTTTTGGCATTAAGAATGAAACAGCAAACAGAAAATAGGTGTTTTTTTCTGTTACTGTTTATGCAGAAAGGAACATTCTGCTAATAAAAATACAATTTAAATTGGGTGCCCCGAGGCCAATACAATGTGAGTCTACCTAGAGAAGTGTAGCCAGGGCTGAGATAATGAGGTAGCTTCCCCGAGATGGAAATTGAAGACACTATAACTATTCACAATTAAAATACAAACACTATAAACAACATTGTCTGTAGTAAGTTTTCTCAGAGTTTTCTGGAACCTTTCATATGTGATATTAGTAATAAAAACTTTTGACTACCCTCAAATAAAAATCAATCATTATTTCCATCCTGATCCGTATAGATTAAAACTGATCCAGAAGGAAGCACCTGCATTTGAGAATTGATGAAATGAGACCCAAGCTTTATAATTCTAAGTGTTATGTTGGTCTTTCCAATAATACTTCTGAAACTGAAATATTGACAAATTCAGAACTCTTTTAAAAAGTTCATGCATGGACCCAAGTTCCATCATCATACTGATTCCACATTTGTCTTAAGGGTTTGCCTTTTACTCAAATAATATATGTATTTACCTGCCCTGGGAATCAGTATTTCTTCTTTCAAATCTGGAACCATGTCTGGGCTTAGCCACCGCCTTGCTAGGTGACCCCTGTACTAGGCATTCAACTTTCTTCAGCTGATATTCTTCAGCTGTAAAACTGGCAGTTAGGCTCAGTCTCTAAAGACTCTTTCCCGTTTATGAATCTATGACTCTTAGATGACTGATGCCCTTTTGCACTATAGATTTGTTTTCAATATGCCATTGATAAATGGGTATATTCATCTGTGCAGAGAAAAGACCCTGAACCAGGTTTAAGATCTGACCAAAAGAACAAGGACATAAAGATCTGGATTGAATGAAGTCTTAGCACTGTGAGGCTGAGTTAGTGGCTTGGTCATGCTGTTCCATAGCCAGGCTGTTTAGTGGTTTAGAGTCTTTGGGATTTGTGTTGGTTCATTCCGGATCTTACTCTGGCCTCAAGTTTGTTGGCAACCTAATGACAACTTCATGTTCCTTCTCTTTCTCCCTTCTCCAATTTAAGATTATGGGACTGTAGCAAATGATGTCGATGACACTACCAACAGAAGTAACGAAATACCTTCCACTGGTGTTGCTGACTCAACTGGTCGGGAACATCTCTCGGTGAGTGGAATTAATAGCTGGTTCCTAGATAGGTCCTGAGCATTTTGGGTACTTACATGTGAGAGGAAGGTAGCTGCTTCAACAAGACATTTTTATTATGCAGATGTCAATAGGGCATTAAAATATAGAATAAATGTCTCATATAATATCTATTAATCTAATTAATTTATATTAATGGTTAGGTTTAAAGAAAGTGATAAGGATGCCTTTGATTTATTTGCTTCTCCCTTTGTGTACCACTTTATTTATTATTATTATTTTTGAGACAGAGTCTCACTTTCTCACCCTTAATAGAATGTCATTGCATCACAGCTCACAACAACCTCAAACTCTTGGGCTCAAGCAATTCTCTTGCTTCAGTCTCCTGAGTACTTGGGACTACAGGCACTGCCACAATGCCCAGCTATTCTTAGAGATGGTATCTCACTCTGGTTCAGGCTGGTCTTGAACGTGTGAGCTCAGGCAATCCACCCACCTGGGCCTCCCACTGGGATTATAGGCGTGAGCCACTGTGCCTGGCCTGTGTACCACTTTTAATTGTTAGTGGTTTCTATTTCAAGTATCTGTCCTTTAAAAGAAGAAGCAAGAAACTAGCAGAGCAAGAAACCAGTTTTCTCATTCATCGACTAGACTTTTACACCCCTCTTCTTAAACTTGCAATGAAAGTTTGATGGCTCACCAAATGTAAGCAGTCCAGTAGATTGTGGAAGGGACTGTCAGTGGGCAAAGAAAAAAAAACATGAATGCATAGACATATACATGTCACATAGACATATACATGTCAGTCAGAGATCTTAGACATGAATACTAGCAGCTAAAATACAAATAGAGACAGAGAAATGCAGTGCCAGAGACAGAAGCAGAGGGATGAGTGTTCGGTCTCTCCAGCTGTGAGATTCAGAGGAGCCTTTGTGGGACAAGTGGCATTTTGGATAGCCTGTGCTAAAGGGTTGGGATTTGGACATAGAGAATGGAAGGGGAGGCCATTTGAGGTTTACAAACAAGAGCTTGCAGATGGGGAAACGTGGTGAAAGGGCTTGATTGGAAGGGAAAGTATGTGCAGGTCAGTAGAGTTGGAGATGTACGTGGTGGCCAGGTTGTAGGACTTGAAGCACAGTCTCAGGTGTGTCGATTTATGGTGCAGTGAGGAGCCATTGAAGGGGGAAGTCACACAACTTCCCAGGGGTCTATGGTGGGATTCCTCTATCAGTTGCTGTGGTCAGAACTGAAAAGCTTCCTCCATTCTTCTGTTTTCCTCACTGTCATGCATGCACAGTCATCACTTTCTATGAGCTGTGCCTCCTTATAAATTCCAAATCCATCCACATCTCTTCACCTCTACTGCCACATTGCAGGGTAGCGTAGGGTTGACAAACTGTAGCCTATGGATCAAGTCCAGCTCACCCCCTGTTTTTGTGCTGTTTGCAGACTAAGAATAGTTTCTACATGTTTAAGTGATTTAAAAAAATCAGAAGACTGAGTACATTGGATACTTTTTCTTCTAAAGCTATAACCCAATTATAACCCAATTATAGCCCAAGAATATGGGGAAAGGGAGTGGAGGGGAGAGGAGGGGGGAGGTTGGGTGGAGGCAGGTAATCAGTGGGACCACACCTATGGTGCATCTTACAAGGGTACATGTGAAACTTACTAAATGTAGAATATAAATGTCTTAACACAATGACTAAGAAAATGCCATGAAGGCTATGTTAACCAGTTTGATGAAAATATTTCAAATTGTATATAAAACCAGCACATTGTACCCCATGACTGCATTAATGTACACAGCAATGATTTAATAAGAAAAATAAAAAAAATCAGAAGAATGATGTTTCATGTCACATGAAAATTTTATAAAATTAAAATTTTGAAATGGAGTTTGAACTTGTTTATTTAGGTAGAACCACTCTCTATTTGCAGACATCTGGGATTTAATAATAGGGCAGAGAAATTTATAGCTAAAATCTCTTTTCCATGAAAACATTAGTTAGAAACAAAGATTTAAAAAAATGGGCAAATCCTTTAGGGAAGTTTGAGTGAAATAATTGCTTATCCATAATTAGCTTTTTAGGAATTGCCACCATTCCGTTTGTATATAGTCTCTGCAGCCTACAGATCGAGTTAAGTCTGTACCTAAATATTTGCAGAAGCATTTTCTAAGAGGGCCACTCACAGCTAAAGTATCAGAGAAGAGAACTGTCATATCGTACCTTTGCTCCACACTTTTTTGTGCCTTGTGACTTATTTCATGCTGTTTTTATCTGATGTCAGAGGTGGTGAAGTGGGAGGATTAGCCTACTTTTATTTTTGTACCTGAATTCTCAACCTCTCAAAGAGGCAGTGCCATGGATAAATCATAGGTTTTATACTTGCCTAGACTTGAGTTCAAATCCCCAGCTTGTAAGATGTGACTTTAAGCTGCTTATTGAATTTTTTCTAAGTTTTATTTTTATATCATCATTATAGCAAACACTAATTTATTATCTATTGGTGTAGACACTATTCCAAGCCCGTTATCTGCATTTGCTCCCTAAGGATTTCCAAAAACATATAAAGGTAGAATTATTAAATTTCCCATTTTATTCATGAAGATTATAAGATGCAGAGAAATTAAGTAAGCTAATAAGTGGTAAGTCTGAATTTTACACTCAGGAAGATCCCATGTGCTTCCTCAGTGTCCACTCTATACTCCCTCACACTAGGGGATGGGTGTATCAGTCAGTGTAAGTTACACTGTAGTAACAAATGCCCCAAATCTCAGTGGCTACAACCAACAAGAGTCTCTTTCTTGCTTCATTATGTGTGTTGGCTGGGAGTTCTGTTCATCTTTGTCCTCATTTCAGGACTAGGCTGACAAAGCATCCACATTTTTGAAAGTTAGCATTTTTTAAATAGAGAGAAAAAGATTTCCAGAGCAGGATGGAGCAGGCTTTTTTAACCTTGGTACTGTTGGCATTTTGGAATAAGTAATTCTTGGTTTGATGGGCCTGTCCTGGACACTGTAGGGTATTTAGCAGCATCCCCAGCCTCTACCCCCTAGGTGCAGAAGTACCCCTCTATACCCTAATCCTGATGGTTGCCAAATGTCTTTGGGTGGCAAAGTGAGCCCTAGTTGGGAACCTATGCTTCATACCGTGATCTCAGACTAGAATTGAAGTTCTACACCCTGGAAGCAACATGTCTTAACTAGTCACAGAAACCCACCTAACCACAAGCAAACAGGAGGTACATCCTATGAGAAGAAACACAGAAAAAAACAGAAATATTAGGTGACTAGAGCTAGTCATTACCAAAGATGAGGATAATAATATCCATCTTAAGGATTATGATGCAAATTAAATGAAACAATGATGCTTATGCATCTTAAGTCACTGTAAACATCTCAGACATTTAGAGCAGAAGTTGGCAAACTATGTCCAAGTCGTTTTGTAAATAAAGTTTTATTGGAGCATAGTTATGCCCGTTTGTTTACATATCATGTGTGGCTGTCAAGCTATACCAGCAGAGACAGTAGCTGGCAAAGCCTGAAATATTTACCATTTGAAAGTTTACAGCCAAACTTTGCCAACTACTAGTTTAGAGACTTGAACTTTTCTTTGGAAGCAGGACCTTGGCTGAGCAAGACTGGAAAGAGATACAAGTGCTGCTTATATCTTTGTTTTGAAAATGTTAAGATACTCTTAAAATAGCATCATGCCTTGATCGGCAGCACTGGTGGCAGTGTGATCACATTGCTCCTTGGACCTCTGTCTTTCCCACCTCAGGGTTGTGATGGGATTCACATATATGTGCCTCTAACCCCTCCACTTGTGGAACCCACCTTGCAATTAACACCTTTACATTTACAAACACTTTTCTGGGCGGCGTGTGTCATACCTACAAGATAAGTGCGCATGTCACAAGTATGCAGTTCGATGAGTTTCACAAGTGGAACTCATCCCACAGTGCCCTCCTGCTTCCTTCCTGTCAAACTCCCTATTCCTAGCGTACCCTGACTTCTAACGGCAGAAACAGCTAATCTAAAAAAAAATTCTTTTTATTGTGGACGGTTTCAAACATGCACTATAATAGAATAGTAAAATGAACCCCATTGTATTCTCCAACAGCTTCAAAAATCAGCCCCATTTTGCCCTCCACGTTTCACATTCTCTGTCTCTCTCTTTCTCTCAGACGGGTGGATAGATAGATATTATATCTATACCTATAACATATCAGTTAGAGCTTTATGAACTTTATGCGCTTTAACTTCTATTATCAATTAACATATCAATTAGAGCTTTTGGTGCCTTATGAGCTTTGACTTCTATTATCTCCTTGCAAAGTAGACATAATGGCAGGTCCTACTATTCTTGTAGGGGTTCTAAGGAGTGAGTTGCAGAAGATCTGTTATAAGAAGGCGCGTTAAGCATTCAGCCAATGTTAACTGTCATTATCATCATTACCATATGATTATAGGGAACTAATTAGCAAGGTTATAACCACCCTCTCGTCCTTTCTCTAGGTGTATGCTGTGGTGGTAATTGCATCTGTGGTGGGATTTTGTCTGCTAGTAATGCTGTTTCTGCTTAAGTTGGCAAGACACTCCAAGTTTGGCATGAAAGGTAAGAAGGGTTCTGTTTATTTTGCTTCTTATGTGGAACCGTTTTTGGCTTATGACTAATGCTAATTACTGCTAAAGAAGGAAGCAGCTAGATTTACGATGATTAGGTTTTTAAGGCTGGAAAAAATAGCAACAAGGATGTGATACTACAAATCCAGACAGAGCAAAATAATGTTGATTACTCAGCACTACCCGCTTTCCCATGAGGACAGTTGTCCCACAAGACATAGAACTGGTTTCCTGAGTATCGAGTGACTAGCAGTGATAGGGACTAATAGCGCTCTATTTTTCCTTTTGCTCTAGAAAGGCAAGGGACGCACACTGGTGATAGGATAGTCTGGACGTGGACTCGGTGCAGAAAGGTCTTTTCTGCTGTACATTTGCTTCGCACCCCTCAGTGGTGTGCTTTTGGTTGCTACTGTTTCCCTAGATTCTCATTCTCTGACATTTCAAACAACAGAGTTGAGGAGCAAAATAAGAATAGCTGTTGGTGCGACCCGGGAGCTTCGTGAAAGAGTGGCCTTTTCTTTTTAAGGTGGAAAACCTCTCAATGCTAGATTAAAAATTAAGGCTATATTGCCTGAGGATAGATACTTGGCCCTTTTTTTTAGAGGATTGAAAATTAATTTGAAGTGGGGAGAAACTTATATAAATGTAAGTGAAGAGTTTCAATCATTTAAAAGTGTCACTCTGAAGTTTACACTTACCTATTGGCTAATTTGTACAAAATATGTTATATTTTGTGTGGTCTCTTATAGAGAGATAGTATTTTAAGTGAGTGGGAAAGAGGAGAAGGTTTAGTGTCTTAGTTGTGTTGGGGAACAAGTCTGGTGGGTTTCCTTATCTGTAGGTCTAGTAGAATCACTGTTATGTTGCTTGTTGACAGGGAAGGGAATATTTAAGTAGCACCAAGTTCTCCAACATACACCGGAGTCTGGGGTAGATCAGATCTTAGTTCTCATGTTTCTTCCTTTCCTTTTATTGGTGTCTGTGACCAAGATCCCCAAGCCAGAGATGAACAGGGAGAGGTAGTAGTAAATTGGGGCTTTAACAACCCCCTGGAACCTCGCCCTGATTCCTCCCTGGCCCGCTCATACTTGACATTTCTTAAAGAGGAGAAAAGATCTTTCATTCTCTAATGATCAGTAGCCTTGAGAGAGGGACTGGATTTAATTCATGCTACAGTGGTGGTTCTCAAACTTGATTGTGAGCCACAAGCTCCTGTAGGACTTGTGAAAATGTAGATTGCTGGGCCACCCCACAGAGTCTCTGATGTAGTAGGTCTGAGCTGGACCTGAGAACTGGCATTTTGGGCAGTTTCTGGGGGATCCTGAAGCTTCTATTGCCTGAGCATTCTTTAGGATCACTGTTTCATGTCATACAGTAACGTGGGCTACTGTGCTCTCTTAAGAATGTGGCAGGGCTGGGGGAGGCACTGCAGGCCAAACTCACCCACTGCTTTGCAAACCTTTCGGAGTCCCCAAGTCTCAACTGGCACCCCAGCCTGCTTTCGGCCACTATCTACCACAGCATTTAGTTTTTATCATTTTGTCAGGTGCTTTTTTTCCTTATGGGCACTGGGAGTGGATATCCCCAAGCATAGATTTCAATGTCTTAAAGCGCTTGTTTGAGATCTTTTATTCCTTGGGCCTCTTCAGAGAGAGGATGTGTCCTCATTCTTCCAGGAGCTCAGCAAAAGCTTTGGCAATCCTTGAACTAAAATTTAGGAGCCCCTCTCCATCCTTGGTTTAGGAAAACCACTGGCAGAATTACCAGTAAACAACAACCTACTCCCTATACTGAAGCAATGGAAGAGAAAAAAGATAGACATTTAGTTTCAGAGAAGATTGCATTTCATATCAGACAACAGCTTGTCCTGGAGGCAAAGACTGAACCGGTATTTTATTTGGATAATTTGGGCGTGATTACCACTAAAGCACCTCCATTTTCTGTGTATGACCTGAGGGTAGCCTTAATGAATTGGAAGAAACAGTTTGCTTAACCTTGCCACAGGATTGGTAAATGACTTCCTTCAGGCAATATGTACTATATATATTCATATATATATTGTAGGTTTTTCCTTCCTTATTCCTAAACATAAATAAAACCGGTTTTAGAAATTTTGTTTCCGAGACTCATGTTCCTGCTTGGAATAGCTTATTTTTCTATTTTTAGCTACACGTCTATCTGTGGCATGATTACGAACAAAATGAGCCTGATCTGGGGTTATTGTTTTACAAGTCAGATGCTGAGTTGATAATCTTTGGGGATCTAGAAATTAAGATGTAGCTCATGCATTGAATGCAAATGAAACTGCATAAAAAGTGACATTTCAAAATTAATGTAAGTTAATGTACGCTAAGTGCTATTAGAGCTGGGATTACCACTGAAAAACATATGTCTTAAAAAGGGAAGACTACGTAAAAACACTGTTAGACTTCCCGAAATAACCAGGCAATATGTCAGTCGTGATTTCTGAGTATGAACTGTGCACAGTGTTGGCCAGAATTAGACAAATGTGAGAGGCTGATGGCTGGTGTGCATCTGAGCTATTCGGAATGCAATTCCTGCCCTCATAATCATCTTTGTGGAGGTTGTAAGCCCATCCCTATTCTCTCGTCCTGGAGACAGATTGAGACAGAAAGATGGTGATCAGCTCACCCATACGTGCTTACAACTTTTTACCCATCCTTAGCATTTCATGGTTTATCTCAAGTGTTGACTATTCTGCTCTGTAGTGAAAGCCTTAAAATTATAAATTGCCATTTAACACTGTTGATTCAGAGGGCCCAGGTTAACACAAGCCAGAAACCTCTTAAGATCACACTACAGCTGAATGCAGGTCCACTTAAGCTTTGTGGATTGACCTAATACCCTAAATATTATAACACTGCTTCTGTGGAAAGGTGTTCTCTAAATTCTTCACTAATGAGTTAAACCTGGACTTGAAGATCAGTGAGCTGTGCTGTTGACTTTGGAGATGGGTCTAAGGGATGGTAAACTCCATTAGGTTTTGTTCTGTGGATTCCCCATAAACCCCATAGCTGACAGTCCAACACTGACTAGGAAGCACAGACTGTGAGCTCCAAGGTGACAGTGTTCATGTTTGCGGTTCATCTTTCTTGACCTCTTGCCTAACTCAGAATTGCCACTCAATAAATATTAATTGATGGAATGATCAGAGAGAATTTTTAACTTCATCCACTTCAGCTTGGTAACTGGAAAACATTTAGTATTTGGAAGATGCCTAACATGTGAATGGTTGAAGAGAGACCCTGGGACTTTTCCAAAGTTTCTGTAGGGAAGAAAGTTCCTTTTCTAGAATCTTCTTCTTTTTTAAAAAAATTATTCCAGATAAGTAATGGCCATAAATAAGAGGTCTCTTTGTCCAAGTTTTGCTATAGGTTATATTGCCTTTTATACATTGTTTTAAACAATTACTTTTGTTTACGTTTTGAGGATTCCCTTTGGCGTTTTATTTTGCACATGGACATCCTCAGTTTCTACCTCCCTGCCTTTGAATGTATGACGGTGGAATCTGTGTCTTTTTCCAGTTCTGAAGTCAGCAGAAGGGCCACACTGGGATCCATATTTTCCTGTTAACCTAGACTTTATCTTTCATTACTGCTTGATATAGGTTAAGCTCCTGTTGTGTCCAGTAGGCTTCGGGGCCTGTTACAATAAAGATGTCAAGAGGTAGAATTTCTTCTGGTCCATTTTCTCCTGTTCATCTCTGTACCTTAACACTGTCCTATTGCTTTTTGGTTGAATATCTAGCTACCGTAATTGCAGAAGCCCCGACTAATGCCCCTGTGTTAGTGCATCTGTATAGGGACCATTCATATACGTGTTTAAGATGGAGGAGTAAAATGTGTAACACATGGATCTAAGTCTTTGTCAGCATTGCTATCCCTGTATGTAAATGCAGAGCTTTATCCCTTTTCTTCTAAGGCTGCCTCTGATTTATTTTAATTTTAGTTTTCACTGAAGTAGGGCTTAAAGAATTTTCCAGAGCGGCTTTATTGCCAAGGACTAGGCAACCAGACCCTTGAATGCTGTTGTGCTGTAACCAAGTCTTCTGTTTAGCTCTCACATTGCTTCCTGGCTCTTTCTCTTTATTGAAGACGTGCATATGAAGGGGAAATGGAAGCGTCTATGAGCACAAGGGCTGCCAAGTCTTTAAAGAGCGCTCCACGTTGGGAGTCCTGCCCACGGCATTAATGGTGTACACGGTTGCAAAAAATCTAAGGAAGCCAGCAGGGAGGAGGAGGCTTGGCATTCTTTGCCCTGATGAAGAATAGCTTCGGCTATCAGCTTTGTGTTACTTGCGTTTCTTGGTTGAAGTCCACGTGTGATATTTATTCCCTAAGTACTGACGCATCCTTTGTCCCTCTAAGGTAAAATGTCTAAGTGACCCTGTAGAAGGCGCTAGAACAGGAAGCCTTTCTCTCCTTCTGTGTGGACAGCCTGCACAGATTTTCTCTGCAGCTTGGGATTCTTGTACATAAACCGCCTTATCTGAGTTCGTTTCTGCTAGTTGAGCTCTAGAGGTTTCCAATTAGAAAAGACTGAAAAGCTACACGGCCCCAAGATGCAGAGCCAGGTTTTCCTGACTCCAGAGTCAAGGCCCACAGTGTAAGTTCCTGCTCTTACAAATGATCTTTTAAATGTCTTTCAACAGCAACCAAAAAATCTGGGTACTTAAAAATAGTCATAAACATAGTGGGGCCAAAGCTAAAGGGGTTGAAGGTTAAAGCCTTTTATATGAGCTGAAAACAATTCTGGAAAATTTAGGAGGTTGAGTTTAACAGATATTTGGATCAGCTTTTAAAAGAGGGGAAAACATGTCCAAAAGCCAGAAACACAGTTGCAGAAACATCTGTAAGGACAAACTCTTTTCCATATGCACCCTCCTCTATTTTTTTTTTTAAAGAAAAATAATGTCAAAAGTAACAAATGGTTGCCTCCTCGTTTTTCAAAATTTCAAGCAGTTTAGAAATA